CATACCGACAAACCGACACACAAAGTTTCTGCTTTATAGAATGTAAGGATAGGGCTTGAGAGAGCCACTCGGTCTCGGGCGTCTTGCAAATCGCTGCAATTATTAAGGGGCGAGTACAAGAGTGGTGGTACGTGTAGTGAACATAACTCTCTGGAATGTCACTTGGACGAAAATAAGGCAGCCAGATTTGTAGTGAGTAGGATTAAAGGTAGTAGTGGTTGTTACTTCGATGTCATCATATGTCACGCATACTTCACTCTGTCTATCCCATGCAGCAATGATGTCCATGTCCATTCTCAACTCTTCTCTGTTGTTGTCAGGGAGCTCCTGCTTTGTATTTCCAGTGCTTCTCTTTTTTCTTTTTCACCGAGTCACAAACATTCTTATAGATCACGCAGACGTTGATAGGTGCGCGCTCGTGCATGTGCCGCAACGTACGGAGCATCTGAAAATTGGTTGTCTTATAGCGGCCAGCATTGCGAAAACCACTGAGATTTCATCCAACTTTCTGTAAAGATGGCGTCCACTTTGTTCTAAATAAAACACACAACATGGCGCTTCCTCTACTTCGCACACGGTGCTTTTCAAAAGGTTTTTCTCGTTCTTCTCAGTGTACGTACAGTTTGTGCGGGCACAAACAATACGCACACTAAGAATTGTACTTTCATGCAACGAAGATGATATGAGCATGTTAGCAGGTATCGGAATCGGGCGGATTACATCTCAAACCTGTTTATGATGCGACTGACATCCTTTGCAAAGTATTCCAAGAGGTAGGGTAGAGTCAATGGAATCCTCCCGGAATTGTATACGAGCACCAGCAGACGCGTCTGCCTCGATCTCAATTCTGTACAAGTATGCGTGTCACCTAGTCCATCACTTCAGCAACACGTGTGAATGCGAGTATACAGACTTTTCAAGGTGTTCTCAACGACATTCCTCTTCATGAACAGAAGTTGACACCTTCTCGAATGCATCTGGATGCTCTTAGATCCGCTTTTATTATTCCACATGGAAGTCACTTACTTCTCATTCAGCTTTGCCTTCGGGTTCAAGAATGACGGGAAAGCTTTCTTTTTCAGGGTCCTCGACAGCAGTTGCATGTGAATGAGCTGAGTTCAGCGAGGTAAATGCTTGACGAAGTGCTGTTCTGGGCTCCCCCGACGATTATGTTGTGTATGAATCGACCGTAGGACGGCAGTACCGATGAAAACGCACGTCTTCCCCAACCATCCATGAAGGCACTGGGAAGAAGCGGTGCTATACAGCTGCCGCCTGCTAATTCCCTTGTCTGCATAAATGTTGAACCTTAACGGAACATGTTGAACTTCACAACATTTACCAAGAGTTCTTCAACGTCGTCTATGGACAACCCTAGAATTGACATCTCTGGTGGTGTTATCGTAAGGGACCTATGTCCGCCTCAATGGAGGTCCCCGTGTCTACATTGGTCCATAGAGCAGACACACTGAAGTAAGATATTCTTAAAATATCTTCGAAATAGCCCTCTCTCTGGAGAATTCAGGAAATGATCAGCGTTGTTCAACTGAGCCGGCACATCCACTATTAGTGGTGGCTGGTCTTTGTGGTAGTCGATCATGACACATCCTTCGGGAATCGCCGACTTGTGTGTCTTCACAAGTTGATAGCTTGTGGCGACTTATGAGTGCCGTGGAAGAAATCGAGTCAGAGTTCAAACTTTGGGCTCATAACTTTCCTATAACTTCCCCGCGTTTGCTACATTCCTGTTTCCGGCTTCCTCAATTAACAACAGAAGAGTGTTGAGAACATGGCACAGCATCGTTGTGCGTCATGAGGCCTAAGTTAGTCGCTCAGGCGGAGGGGAGGGGATCCTAAATGCAGGATCGGAGAGAACCGAACAGCGCTACGTGTCATCGCTAGGTTTTTGTAAAAAGGAACCAGAGCTGTAGAAAACCCGCGTGTTTGGAAGAAAACAAATATTGAAGTACTTAAGTAAATACTCAGCCAGATCGATAGACGGAAACCAAACTATTCTTTCCCCCCGTCCAAGGGAATGTGTGTTTTGAATTCATTTCAAGATTTCCAAATGAGTATTCTTACAGTTACTTCCCGACTAAGCAGTCGACTTTCCGAATCTTTCAAATTTACTATAGCAGAGCTCTTCTTTCATGATTGGCAGGAGGGTTTTTCGTCAGTACTTCACTACTTTCTCGGCAAACTGCTTAATAACAGCTCCATTTGGAAGCACCTCTGTTTGGTAGAGTTGGTAGTTTACCTTTATTTGGTAGAGTTGGTAGTTTTCCTAGGTCGAGAATTGTTGTTCTATGCTGAACTGCCATTTAGTGTAACGCAGTAAACAAACGAATAAGCTTCTGAAAGAAAGTTTCCTGTCTCGAGATTTCAGAGGATTGACCTTTCAGTTCTGGCAAAAGCACTGAACGAGTGTAAGGGGGAATGCTTTCTCGAGTGATTAAACCTGCTTTGTTGGCGTCGTGATGAAAAAACGCGAACAAAAAGAGTAAAAACCGCGGAAATGTCTATCACAGTTCAATTAATTTCATTCATTCATTTAGTGGACCAGACTACGAGACTGAAATCAATGACCAATATGTGACAGTAAAGATGCTGATGGAGGAAGTTTACACCAAGGTCTGCTTTTAATAGAATCCATTACGTCACGTTTTCTTCTTTCTTAATTTGTTTCCTTTAATTTTTTGGTATAGCAACGAAAGCTTTCATATTTTTTTCCAAAACCAACTTACCTTTATAGTCGTGCGAGTGTCGCCTTTGGGCTTTGGTTCGCTTGACGGCAGGACTTCTGAACAAGCGCCTCGAGGAGTTGGGAAAGGCTGTCACTCACCTCCTCGTTCGTCAAAAGCAGATAACTGTATGTTGCCTATATGTGTATATAACAATGTTTTTATGTGACGATGGGTTTGTCGATGGGTCGATGGGTTTGTCTGTTCCTGCCTACATGGTAGTTAGGCAGCGTTTAGATTTCGCGATCGATCGTCTAGCGGCGCGATCGATCGCTCCGTTCGTAGTAACGACCGGTTGTGTAGCGCGTGTAGGTTGTGATTCGACCGCGCTCCAATGCAAATGTCGACTGGACAGATGCTAATTTACAGCCGTATTCACTAACTTTTTCCTTCTTTCTCCTTCCGTGAGCTTCTAACTTAATTTTTCATCTTCCTGCCACTTTTTTTATCTGTTCTGATGTTTGCCGGTTATATGCTTGTTTACATCTAACACGTTGATATTTCCAGATACACTGAAACTTTTCGGATCGACGGCCGTGTTCAGCGCGCACTGTTCCTTTTTTTGAGGTGAGGTTTTCAGTTCTACTGTAGTTTTGGTTATCTTTTTGTTTCTCATAAATCATATTGTGTTTAGCTTGGTCGGCACCTCAGCAGTTCAGTGGAAAGCTTCACCTGTACATTAAATAGTTTTTTCTGCCGACCATGCTAAACACAAAACGATTGATGAGAATCAAAAAGATAACCAAAACTACAGGAGAACTGAAAACCTCACCTCAAAAACAGGAACGGTGCGCGCGCTGAACACGGCCGTCTATCCGAAAAGTTTTGGTGTACCTGGAAAATATCAACGTGTTAAAGATAAATAAGCATAATAACCGGCAAACATCAGAACAGATTAAAAAAAGTGGCAGGAAGATGAAAAATCAAGTAAGAAGCTAACGGGAGGAGAAAGAAGGAAAAAGTAAATGAACACGGCTGTGAATTAGCATCCGTCCGGTCGATTTTTGCATTGGAGCGCGGTCGAATCAGTCGCGCTACAAACCTGTCGCTACCCTTAGCGGCGCGATCGCGAAGTCTGAACGCTGCCTTAGAATCGCTGAATCATGCTCTCAGATGGGAGAAAAGCCGTGTAGTAGTTAAGTAGTTAAAAATGCGAAAGAAATGCATGCGGCAAAGCCACGCCCGTCCGGCGGAGCCTAACCTTTCCAGAAAAGGAGGCTCGCCGACGTCACGCAGCGAAACTGGTATCAAATATTCCTGTGACCACTGGTGGTTACAGTACGGCTGCCTATGTAATGGTTACAGTATGGCTGCCTATGTACTGAACCTCAGTAAAGCAAATAAGTAGCTCGTGCTCCGGGACTTTTCTCCCTTTCAGCGAGCCTTATCGCATTACTGACCTGCTCAGCTCTTGCCAGATGTTCCTCTTTACCAAAGGTTTTTTTCGGTCTTTAAAACTCTCCTGAAATTCTTTTCCCCTGGCGCTTATTTTGCTCTGCTGCTGAATCCTAAATTTTCGACTTTCGCCCTGCCCACACTGGCACCCGCTGCGCCTACAGTCAGGGTGTGGTGGTTCAGTGGAATTATATATATGCCCTTGAGTAAGAGGCGAGAATGACAATAATAATCTATATAATACCTTTATTATGTATAGGAGATGAACCTACGTCTTGACTGCGACGGTAGTTGTGCGAGGAAGGGCGAGTAAATGGACGTCTTACTCGGGACGTTGAACGGGAGGTAGAAGCAGCTAGTGTATTCTAGGGAATATAGCAGACTGCGCGCGGACCATTCATATCATGAGTCCGCCTCATGGCAGTACTTGAGGACCCACGCTGAGAGAGGTTCCAGCCCCAGACGTGGAGAGAGGAGGTAGAGAGTGGGATCGCCGTCGCAGACGACGATACTCCGCCGGGCAACGAGTTTACTACTTCGAGGAAAATCTCACACGGTTATTTACATAGAGAACATTAGCAAGTTGAAGTTGTGATGGGACAGTCGATTGATAGAGGCGATGGCTGGAGGTGGCTAGTCGGCGACTGCAGTAGCTGGACGGCTGCAGGTACGGGAAGCGGATTGCGACGTCGGTGGTGAAAATAACAGGATTATATCACATTTATAAATGACTGTCAGAATTGAAAAAATTAGTGATTGACTTATCGATAACCGATTTTTCGGTGTTAAACCCGTATACAAAGGCGCTCTTTATGACTCTTGTAGTGCCCCATTTTCATCTTGCGAAACTTTGATACCTTCGTTGAGTCTTTTCGTCTGCTATTCATTAGGCCACCCGGATGCGCCATTGAGGCACCCGAGAACGATTTCTGGTCTGGAGGTGTTCTCACCTCTTTGGAACGTGGCACAATAGTGCACCGTCTATTGTGGCGACCTGGCCCTGATTCTTGCCTCATCGCTTCCGGGTGTATTTCCCTTTTTTGGATGTGTCTTTTCTGTTGAAGTACTGTTCCACCCTTTTCCTTTTGGAGGGGCTGTATTTGTTAGAGGGAAGCATTAGCTTGTCCTGTCTTGATGTACTGTTTTCGAATTTAAGTGAATCGAAAGATTCCCTGTTAGGAATGTTTGCTATGGGAAACATTCTCTGCTCTGTAATTGCGGTCATTCCATAGCGAATGTTAGCCTTCGCATTTTCTACTTCGAGCAACCCTTTTCCATATAAGGTGGTCCAAATATGGTCTTCGCAACATGGAGACCTGAGGGAGCTCTTTCCATGTGACCTGAACTAGTGACCAGGTCATGGTAGTAGTCTAACCCTACTAGGATGTGGGGAATTTGGTGCTCCCCTTGCAACTTTGAGTTTGCCAAGCGAATGTTGTTTTCTTTAAGGAATTTGGTATCTGTGCTGTTGAATTTGATGCTTGGGAAGCCACTGCTAATTGTCGGCTTCGTTTGAATCTTTAGCTGTATTTCTTCACTAAATGCAGAGCATACCTTTACGGTAACCGCATGGGTTTTGAAGGTCTCTACATGGCCACCCATACCCGACATAGTGCAAACCTTGGTAGAATCCCTTAGGATACCAAATCGCTCTGCTGTTTTCGCTTCTATGACGGTATGATGGGCTCCAGTATCAAAAAGGAATAGCACTTTCTCATAGCATCGCTTCTTGAAGTTCCAAAGATCACCTTCGGCCGTCATGAAGACGAGCTGTGAGGCCACGCAGTTTTGTTCTGCCGGTTTGGAGAGCTTTCTTTTACTCTCAGCATGGAAGCTGTTGGAGAAATATCTGCGCCCTTTTTGTTGAAAAGAAGGCCTCTGATACCCATCAGTGGAGTTTGACGCCCTCCTAGATTGTTGGCCTACCCTCTTATTGCTGTGGGTGAAGGAGTGATTCTCTTGACATGCTTCACTGTTTTTATTTCGGAAGCATATGCTTGTGTGATGCTTTTGCCCACAATGAGAACAGTCCTGTTTTGACAGTTAAAGCTGTTGTGTTCTAGAGAGAAGTACTTCCAACATCTGTTTTCACCCTTCAAGATGTTCCTACGACTTACTGGGTCTTTAACCGTTCGACATTTTGTCGATACGTGATTGCTTCTATGGCAAAATATACAAGATCCATCAAAAGTGGTAGTCTGCCTCTGGCTTGATAGGTTAGCCCTATTCTTAAATATATAGTTGGATTTGTTACTTATCATGCTGCCTAGCCTACTTTCTACGTAGGTTTTTGCAGCGATTTCTTGTTTGAGGTGACCCAAGAGGTCCTTTATGGTTTGGTTCGTTTCTGCCTGACTTCTTATGAGGACAGGCTTAACTATGTCCCGGGGAAATTTAGCTATGATGGTTTCATGCCACATTGGATCGCAAGTAGTCCTTACGTCATACCCTGCGGATATCATCTGATTGACCAGAACTTGTATTTGTTCGTAGGTCTCAGAACAACTGTCCGCTTTATCGGTGGCTGGATCCATTAGGACTAGCTTTTGTACGATTTGGGACCTATTGGCGGAATAATCGCAGTACTTTTCCTGGAGGTTCTGTATCATCCAATCATAATTCTGCGGCAGCGGTTGGATTCCTTGAATCGCAAGACGCGCTCTGTCTTCAAGACATTCCCTTAAGAGGATAATCTTCTCTATGACCTCTCTCATCACTATTGTGAACCAGGGTCTCAAATATGGCCCAGAATTCCGCAAATTCTTGTGCATTCCCATGAAATTTGGGGAGTGATACTTGCGGGGGTCTTATCGAGCGAGGTGGCATGCGCCTCATTTCGCTCGAAGCAGGTTGCACCGTATGTGGTAGCCTAAGCTGTGACCCACCTTCAGTGTCCAACCCAATACAAGGTCTGAGTCTTTACTGTGACCAGATCGATATTCTGGGTCATCAGAAGACATTATCCCACCCCTGATAGCGTTATTTGAGCTATAGCCAAGTTTTCTAGCTATTCTATCTTGTGAACACTTTGATTCATCAAGTCTTGTCGTTAGCGTGATTATTAAATCATTCGCTTCCGCTACTACTGGGTGGAGCTGCGATTCCTCCTCTATTTGTTCAATTTCTGCAATCAAATCCTTTTTCTCGGACTTATTATTGCAGTTCTCATAATGATTTCTAACTTCATTGTATAGTTTTTCTAAATTCTTTCTAAATTCTTTTACTTGCCTAATGCTGCTTTTCAAAAGAGCAATTGTTGTCCTACATTTTTCGTAGGTTTCCTCATTTAATTCAAAATATTCTACACTTTTTGTGTAGTCGCTGTAGCGAAGAACTAGAGTTTTGAGCGTCTTAGCGCTAAAGACAATGGGCTTCTCATGAAAATAGAGCGCCATTAGATTTGAAGGGCTTTTTATTAGTTAGATTTGATATAAGTGTGATAAGAATTGCGTTGGATTCTTTACTATTGCTCGGTCTACGAAAAAAAAACAAGTTTTGACCGATGCACCAAAAGAAATGTTGGTGGTTCAGTGGAATTATATATATGCCCTTGAGTAAGAGGCGAGAATGACAATAATCACACCCATATAATATTCGCTTCGTCTGTTTGTTTGTAAGTTTGTTTGTAAGTTTGTTTGTAAGTTTGTAAGTTTGTTTGTAAGTTTGATTTTTGTAAGTTTGTAAGTTTGTGTTGTAAGTTTGTTTGTCTGTCCGAATTCGGTTCGACCAGAAACGAACGACTTGGAGAGGTCCCGGGTCAAGCGTGGGATGAGGTAGAGCATGCGACAAGAAACAAAAAGCCACACTTGGACCTATGCGAAGCCCCCGCCACTGTGGGCGGGGCACTCACTGAAATTTTGGGTTTCACAGAAAAATTTCATAATTCGCTTCCGGGCAGCCTAAGATGGTGAAACAAGCGGAATAAAGTTAGTTAAGGATCGCCAGACTAATGTGGCAGACACATCCAAAATGGGCGGCGGCGTACTCAAGGTGGGCGGTGCTTCGCATAAACTCAGTAACTGGGTTCGCGAGAGTGTTCAGAAGGCCGAAAAAAAGCTCAGTGCAGAGATGTAAATATCTGGCGGAGTATTGGGCATGCCAAAGTGTGTTGAGATCCGCCCACAGTGGGCGGAGCTTGCCCTAAACCGCAGGATACTCACTTTAAAAGTTTGTAGCTCGGTTCCAGAGCACTGCAAAGACGGAAAAACGTGGTCAAGGGTCGGCAAAGGTTCGCCGGTGAGGACTGTGAGGCAAAAACATTGTTGGGCGGAGCCTGCTCCGAGGTTGGGGCGCCAACCAGACAAAAAGGTCTGTAAAACGGGTCAGAGCTCTCCGAAGACCGGGAAAAAAAACTTGAATTAAGGTCAGCAGAAGGTCGCCGGTGAGGATTGTAGGGCATAAACATTGTGGCGGAGCTTGCTCCGAGGTGGCGGAGCCAGGACAAAAAGCGTCTGTAAAACGGTTCCAGAGCTCTCCGAGACCGGAAAAAAACTTGAATTGAAGCACAGAGGGTCGCCGGTGAGGATTGTGGGGCAACGAAGATTGGGGGCGGGGCCAGCCCGAGTGGCGGGAGCCAGGACAAAAAATTCTCCAAAACTCTCCCAGAGCACTCCGAAGACCGGAAAAAAGTGGATTAGAGTCCAGCGAGAGGGTCGCAAGGTGAGGACCGTGGGGCAAAAACGTTGTGGGCGGAGCCTGCTTCGAGGTGGGCGGAGCCAGACAAAAGGGCCTGTAAAACGGTTCCAGAGCACTCCGCAAGACCGGAAATAAAGTGAATTCAAGTCAGCAAGGGGTCGCGATTAAGAAATGTGGGGGTATACATGTTGTGGCGGGGCCAGCTCGAGTTGGGTGGAGCAAACAAAATTCTCCAAAACTCTCCCAGAGCACTCCGAAGACCGGAAAAAGGGATCAACGTCAGCAGAGGGTCGCCAATGAGGATTGTGGGCGCCACAA